AAACAGAGGACAAGGTGTGTGTTTATCGATAGATTGTTATAATATCTGCATCTGTGCAGTTCTTTGTCATAAATCCAATTTACTAAATATCATGGGGGAGCAATAATCAATTCCCCATCTACTGTAGCCTTAGTTTTCACTGCGTTCACCCCTCGTCACACCACAGGTTTCCTCCAGTGAAAATTAAGCACATATGAACGCATACTTTATAAAACAATCATGTTTCCATTTTCATTTAAAAATGTAACTTTCAATATAATACATATTCCAGTGCATGTGGCAAAGAGGTTTGCATTCTTGAGCTAAGGAAAGAGGGTTGTACTAGAATTGCAAACAGTAAAATTTTGTGTTTGTACGGTAACAACAGGTTGTGTGTGTGCGTGCTTGGGGGGGGTGAGGGGGGGTCTACAGGGAGGGGGGGAAGAAAGAAAGCTAAAAAAAAAAAGTCAATAATGAATTGACACTGCGTCGTCAGTGTTGGTATTGTATCAGACACTTTCACTTAACAGGCTATATGAAAAACAAGCTCAAATGGAGTTAACAAGGTTTTTGGCCGGCGAATGTGGAGATCTGTGTTTTGTCTGTCAATAGAATGGCCACATCTGAGGCAAGTGCATCGCATTATACGCTTTCAGCAACTTTTACAGGTTATATGTTAATTTATTAACATTAAATTATTGCTGCTATATGGGCGCTTAGTTTTTCTTGTTGTTTAAGTCCTACACTTGGCCAAAATCTCATGATATAAACGATTAATCGCTTATGCACAGGACATTTAAATCGTAGGCCTACAAAAGTATAGGCTATTGGCTACAGACGGCAAATAATCTACTTTCCCGCTCTTCAAACACACAAAAACATTAGCCTTTTACAGACATAGTGTTTGAAGGAAACGCTTTACTATTCAAACATCAGTTATTTATTTACCCTTGCATTGCGAAAAAGCTGAGATCTGTCTCAGGCTGTGCGCGGTGCGTCAATCTGAATGGTGAAGTTACGAGGTTTCGCTGAGAGCTTGAGGATCCAATAGCGTTAAGAAGTTTTACTGACAAGCCCTTTGTAATACTTAGCATTGGTTAAATATTTGTAAAACCCTCTGGTTTTTATTATTTAATAATAACAAATTATAATAGAGATGTGAAGTTTGGACAATTTTTCACGGCACACCTGACTGGGCTAGGGTATGGCAACTGCCATACTCTGTCATATGGAAACACCGCCCCTGGCTGATAGACATCACGATGTTGAGCCGGCATCGTGATCCCCCC